ACCTCACACACACACACACACACACACTCACACACACACACACACACACACCATTCCCATCATTCTTTGGGGCTTTGAGGAATCTTTCCTCACCTCTCTACATTTCCTTCCTTCCTTCCTTTTGTCATTAATTACCATCCGTCCTCTTTCATTCTTTGCTCTTGTGTTCTTATTTTCTTTCCACCAAAACAAACTGTTTGTACTTATTAAACTCACCTCCTTGTAAGGTTGTAAAGATGTTTTGTGTTCGTCAGTGATGGGCTTTGATAGTGCGGCTAACGTGACTTTACAGAGAAACATGCAGAAAGCAGAGAGGTGGAGCTACAGCGGCATTAAAACATCGCAGTGCCCACTAATGGCAGCACACACTGATGGTTAGCGGCGCTATCACGTCCACGGTGCCCCACGAGTGCTTGTTTGTGTCTGAAAACACAGAGACTGAAGTACAATTAGAGGTATTGCCAAAAAAAAAAAAAGTGACACGGGGGGGTGAGCAGTAAAATGTAAAAAGGTAAATGCAAAGAGTGTAAATTAGAAAACGAGAGATAGTGTTAACATCCGTGAACATGAACACACAGTGAGAGGAACATGTGCGTCGTAGTGGAAGGCATGTTAATAAGTGGCCTGGGGCAGATTTGGGCTCCCATGGGGAGAGTCCTGCCCTGCTCTGTAAAGCTTCTGTCTCTTCCTTAACCCGCCCATTAAACACGGTACACAGGTGGCTTATTAAACCCACTGTGTCAGACAACTACAGTACACGCTGATCATTCAACGCTGGGCTGTGACAAATACAATCACATGCGCCGCTGCAAAGTATGCAAATGATTAATGTGGGCATCCATATTTTAACTCTCAAGTACCTTGCTGTTCCCAAATAATGGCGAGTTTGATAAAATACTGCAGGGGATCTTAAAGATTTTTATCCCGAGACCCAAATTTGACAAATTTAGTCTCCACCCTCAGGGTCCAGGCTCATTAAAACCAGCTATTAGTCCTGTCTTATGGGGACCCACCAGACACAGACCCGCATCTTTTTTTCCAGTTGAATCCTGAGTCGTAGCTTTATGAAAAGCTACACCTCAGCAGAACACCGTATTCCCTCCAGAGTCCGTGTTTATCAGGAGTCTTACATTATTAAGCTGAGCTGCTGAGACCCCCTCGGGTCCACTTTTATTGTTTTATCGTGTTATTCTAAGTGTCTAACTGCATCCACTTGCTTTGTTATTCTCATTAACAGCAGAACTTCAACAAGTCTCCCATGAGCATGGGCCCTCGAGATCTGGGCTACGGGCTCGACGATGATGAGCTGGACAGTGCGAGCAAGTGAGTCCCTGAAGCTGTTTTCATTTGAGATATACGTGTCATGATGTGAGGATGTATGTCAACACACCAGATCTTTTATTGATGGGTTTAAAAGTTGATTACATATAGAAAAGTGGCCTCCTCAGCAGAGCACCAGCTCGTTTTCCTCATGATAATACTGCCCCCAAGTGGACACATTCACAAACAGCATTCGTTGATGCAAGGAGCAGTCACTGGATTATTGTGCAGAACAACGTAACACACCTGAACTATTACATTTGCACTTCTTAAAACAATGCTGATGATCTTATTTAGGAGTAATTAATCACTGCCGCCTCTTCTCCAAACGTAGGATCTCGTCAGAGGACAGCGGGGACGTCCCGTCGTACACGGAGGACAGTGATGACTCCTACTCTCTAGAACTGGACATCGACTCCTCCCACTCGGGCCAGATGAACCTTCTGGAGGAGATCCTGGACTCTCTGAACACCACAACAATAGAGCAAGGAAAGCTCAGCGCCGCCAAGAGCCTGGACTTCTTCAGGTCCATGGAAGACTTAGACTACAAGGCGCCGGTACGCAGACCTTTGTTTAATCAGGTTTTAAAGTCAAATTTCACTCATGTTACCATGTGATAGATTGAAATCATGTGACGAAGCGTTAACAGTGTGACTGTTGTACATGGAGGACGACATGACAGCTTTACCTCTGGGTCAGACGTACACGACACAGATCACAGGCTCTGTGATTGGCTACTTGCATTTTTTCAGATCAGGATTTCAATTTGAAATCATTCCTTTATTCGGCCCTCATGTTTAGAGGGAACAATCATTCTTAACAGACACAGCGGATCAGGATGCAGTGTTGTATTTAGGAGAGATGAGCACACTTTATTCATCATCACAAAATCTAAGGAGTGAAACTGGGACCCGTTAACATGAATTAATTTTTCTGTTTTTACAGTCTCAGGCCAAAATCTGCCTGAACATCTCCTTTCACCTCCAAATTCGGATGTACTGCATGAATTTATCTTTTAGGTCGACCAAGATGTTGAAAAATTTACAAAAGGCTTCGAACCGCCTCATTCATTCAAAGTAGCGTTTCCTGAGGCTCCAGGCCGACGTCAAGGGTCAACGCCTGCTGCAGAATGTCAACGGCTTCCCTTTAAAGAACAAAGACATAAATCAAGTGAACGCTTTCTGGACTCTTCTCCTCATAAAGGTGGAGTATGTGATTCTAATCCACTGCTCGCTGTCTGTTCTGAGTGAGTGCTGATAAAGAAGGCAAACAAACAAAGGAGCTCATATGACGCTCTCGTCCTGTCCACCTATGAGCTTGTCCACATTTGAAAATGGGAGCGAGAGGAGCCGTGAATGTGGCGCATGCTCGCTGTCTAAATATCTTCCTCCAGAATCACAGACTCCACCTTGAAGCAGGACTCGTGTGGCTGCTGACATGTTGCTAGGCTGACCATAACAAAACACCAGGAGGATTTACACCCTGGCTTTTATTTGCTCTCGAGGTTCAGAGCTTTGATTTGTTTCATATGTTGACCTATAGCGAAGCTAACCAGCTGCAGTGCCAACCTGCAGGTACTTACAGACGCTGTGCTCGTGTCTCTCTGTAAAGATATTTGTGGTATTCATTTTTATTTCCTTCCACGCCAGACTAAGCCCACGCCGAGCAGTGATTCTAAACCTGCCGATGAGAGCGGCGGTGGGGATCAAGGCGGCTGGAACATGGGTCAGGACGACAGCGCCGTCCACGGGAAGCACCTTCCACCGTCGCCCCGCCGGCAGCCCAGCAAGAGCAGCCTGAAGGTGGCCAAGACAGCGGCGGCGGCTCCTGCGGTGCCCACCATCATGACCACGCCCCCTCCACAGGACGCCGACGTCTCCACGTCACACCCACATCAGTCCTCGCCCTCCAAGCCACAGCCCCACCCCCACCCTCAGCCTCCAGCTCCAGGGAGGCAACCAGAAAACCGCTTCTCCTACTCGCCCTCAACGTCCCGTAGAGTTACCCCCGTGCCACCGTCGCCCACGCTGTCACACACCTACAGCTCTCCAGCTCCCGTCTCTCACCCCAACTACTCTCCTCTACCAGCTGGTCGGGCGCGGACTGTTTCGGACCCTCAGACGGGCTCGGAGCCTTGTCAGGTGCAGAACCAGACCGCCTCCACCAGCATCCTGAGGAGGAAGGTTCTGTCCAAGGAGGCGGTGAGGAACTACCAGGAAAAGGCTCTCCAGAGGCAGGGCAGCAAGGGGCAGCACGAGGGCCAGAGGAGCACGTCCAGGAACAGCCAGTCCACTATGCAGGTCCAGTGGGAGAAGGAGGTGTCCAAGGAGGGGCTCCTGGGGCTCGGCCTGTGCATGGGTCAGGGTAAAGGCTCGGGGGCGGCTGTGGTGCAGGATCAAGGCCTCCTGGAGGAGATTGAGTCCATGTGTTGCCTGGGCCCGGTCCTGCACACCAGCCTGCAGCTCTCACAGGTTCACTGCAACAACAGTCACCACCAGGTCCAGGGAAAAGCTACAGAGGAGTCCTAAGGGAGGACTCAGCGTCTGTAACATGCCATAGAGTTGTACCCGTCTGTTACAACTGTCTCAGAGAACACCGTCGCTTCTCAACATTTTCTTTTAATCTTGAAGCTCAGCCACGAGTTTGAACAAATCCGACGCAGGCCGACGCCAACAGATCGACAGAGAGCAGGAGGGGAGGAGGTGGTTCTGCAGGATCCTCCATCAGTCGTCCACGTTTCTAAATTAAACATCCTGTTTAGTCAAAGACAACTTGTTTGTTCATTAAACAGAAAGGAGTTTACGTAGAATCTGATAGAAGGACTTTGGTTTACAGGGACGTTTTGTAAGCGTTTTTAGATGCGTCTCCTCCAAATGAATCGATTAATCTGCTGAACAGCATGTTTTAAAAACAAATAGATTATCTGGTGAACTGTGATCGTGGCTCAGAAACCACAAACTGAAGCCGTTTTTATTTCTCTTCCAGTTCATTAGATCTTTTACTTGTTTTTAAAAAAATCAAATCCAGCTCCATAAATTCTGTTACAAACAAGAAGAAGGAGAGTTTCACAGTTCAGTCTTTCTGTCTGTAATCACTGAACTCTCTGAACAGCATCTGTATTGTCACATGTTCACCGTATAATATAATCACGTGGCAGAAGACAGAAGCCTGAATACGTAGCCGACAGTCAGAGGAGGATTCGTTCATCTTTGCCTAAAAGGAATTTAGAAACGTCTTTGTCTGGATGAAGAAGGGACGCCGTCTCCTCCACTCGCCGCCATGTCGGTCTTTAACTCAGTGTTCCAAACATTTCACAGAATCAGTTTGCACTCATGAATTAACAAACAGTCACCACTTATTATTACTACTTGCTACTAAAACCTTCTGAGCATCAACAGTGAGACGGGATTGTTCAGACCTGCAGTCCACTCGGGCCTTTGAAACTAATTACACGTCGCGTTATGTGATGTTTTTTTTATCACTAGACCTTAAATGGATTCGTTTTTGATACTCTGATGTCTTAATCGGTAGATGCGGCAGCAGCAGGTACTTTTATAATCCGGGTCACTGATCCAGTCAGAGCTAACGTACAGCGGTTCTGTAACCACACTGTATTATAGAACAGTTCTTATATATATGATGTGCTTTAAGCTGCTGTTTTAATTGCATTCCAGGTAATCAGATGTCCCTCTTCCTCTGTTTCCTTCCTCTTCCTCAGGACGCTCAGAAAAAAACAAATGCAAATGCAGTCAAAGGTTAAGCTAGAGAAAGCCTCGTGTCCTTTACTCTTTCCACCGTCACCGCCCTCCTCCTCATCAGATTCATCCGACTCTCAGCCTCGACCTTAACAACCGGGGCCGAGCTCGGGAGGTTTGGCGTGGAGCTGGAAAAGGTGAACTTTAAAGGACGTGTCTGGCAGTGCTCCACATTTTTATGATCAACAAATCCCATGGAAGGACCAAAACTAACAGTGATTTATTCCCATTAGTCGATCTCTGTGCGGTTTCAGACTTCCTCTGCCGGTCTGCGGCTCTCCGCCTCAGAGCTGTTAGTTCCCACTAAACTTCTCCAAACAGGCCGCCGCTAACAGGAATAAATAGTGTGTTTGTTTCAGCTGTGGATTATTAAGTACGATGAACTCATAGCTGATTGTTGGTTTTGGTGTTTCCACAGGATCCAGAATATCAAATTATGAAGTCGCTCTCTTTCCGTCTGTCTTCGTTTCTTCGCCTTTGTCTGTCTCACATGAGGAAATGCAATCTCTGTCCGTCTGGGTTGGAGTCACACACTGTAATACGATGCAGTGGTTGATGATTGTACTGTAATGAAGCAATATAGTTCCCCTCAGAGTCGCTGCGTGGATGTAATGTGCACAGAGTCGAAAGTATTTCTATAGCAGACTCTCCTGTGGAGAGAAACGCTGCGTCCAGAGGCTGTGGCTTCCCATCATTCTCTGCGTCGCCACAAACCCGGAGAAAAGGGGAACGCTTTCTTTTTTTTCTTCATGTGCTTGTGTTGGGATTATTACATTTATGGTTCGTTGTTCTTATGATTTATGCCAGACGCCAGTCGGTGTGGCAGTTTACTAGCAGCTATTTCTCCACTTTTTGAGTGCTGCTCTGCGTTAACGATTTGCTCATAAAGTCTTTGGCATGCTTCTAAAAGCCCGAGAATCAGTCCTGGTAATTCCAAAAAGAAAGAAAGAAAGAAAGAAAGAAAGAAGGAAGAAAAAAGACTGACTCCAGAACAATCTCTGCACTGGCCTTATTCAATGTAAACACTTTAAAAAAAAAACCTTATGTACTATGCAAATATTTAAATCCTCAAAAAGGTCAGTGTTCTTTACCAGTAATTACTTTATAATTCAGGATTCTACTCAATAAAAATGCAGATCGCTCTCTGATGTGAGGAAGCCTCACGTGTCCCTGAGAGAGTGAAGAATATTTTGATGTGTGTGAGCTGAGGTGTGGTAATGATGGAGTGTATGGCGTGCCTTATACGGTAGGAGTACCACCCAACAAGGTCCAGTGTTACAGGACGGATGCAATGTTGTGAGACCGCGGGAACAAACACACCGATCATGTTTATATGATGGATGGATACGAAGGCCCGGCTTGGACCTCAGACATCTGAGCTCTGGGTCCTCGCATCGTTTTCGTAGCTGTTCTGGTCCTGACTCGTGGCCCAGATGGACCGACTCGGTGGTTTTCCTTCGCTGCGGTCTCTGACTTTCTCTGGGTTTGTTTTTTTTTTGTACTTTCTTTGATTGTACTGTTAGGTGACTGCTTGTATAGTTTGTACTCTTTTCTTTCTTTTTTTAATTTTAAACTTTGAAGGCTTGCTCTGAGCTAACTGTATTTAAAAACATCTCTCAGAGGAGTTTCTCTAGTTGATTTCATAACGATGACAAATTATTTTCAACTGAATAGACGTGTATTTTTGCTGGCTTGAGTATATTTTACATGGATAATATATGATTGATGTTATATGTTGTAACAGAAACAAAAAAAAAAGGACACCTAATATTTGAATGTTTTAGATTTTTATTTTTGGAAAGAACAAAAGAGAATATTAACAAATGTCCCATGTAGCCGTTTATGTTCGAAAGCATTTGACAACTTCTAATCAAACACGCAGAGACTGACGCTTTGCTTGGTACCGCCGTCGTATCCGCATGTATGTAGCTGTCTGTGCTATGATTTCGTTTGGTTTGGTTTGACAGACGTGGACTGTTTTCGTTGGTATTAACTGATGTCAGTATTCAGCTCTTCCATCAGAACGGTGGACGTCGGGTCTCGTTCGGTACACTCACTCCGCCTTGCTTTGAGTATTGTGGAGTCACATGTATCTGCAATATGTAGGAAAAACAACAAGAAAAAAACATTTCTGCTTCTTTTTTTTTTTTCTGTTTGTTTGTTTCTAGCTACTGTAAATCTAATGGTAGAGGATTGTGGGGAGAAATACTTGAACGGCCAGCTGCTGTTGAGGGTGATTTGAAAAGCTTTAGTAACTCTGGTTCCTTTCACACTAATGATGTACAACAGAGAGGAAATCTCTTTAAGGGCATTTGCATTTCAGTGTCTGCAGGCCTGTGAAAGCTAAACATACCTGATGCTCTGCTAACGATACACAGTGAAGCTATCAGTGAATTAAGTGTAATTGTCCTAAAATTGCCGATTGGGAGCGAGAGGGAGCCGACGGATGATGTAGCAGCTTTTACTGAAAACGCAGGTTCAGCTTTACATTGATAGAAACATGAGTCCCCGACAAACAGACGTTTCCATGGTAGAGATCAGTACACTGAACGTTACAGTGAGCATCTGTATTCTGAGTCTCTTGTCTGAGTATTGTAATGATGATTAACTCTTTGGTATGCCATGTACTGGTTTTCTGATGCTGTGCACACTTGCATGTTCTCATTACAGAGGAAACAACTGTCTTAAACAACTGAGGTCAATCTAATGTGCTATTGATGAGTAACTTGGTACAACTGCACACGATGTATGCACTGTGAACTGAAAATAAATTATACTGTTTCATGCTTACGCATCGCTGGACTCTTTTCTTATGAAAACACCGTGTTGACACAGAAACTGTGATGTTCTGCAGCCGGGGCGCCAAGAAATACTGAGAAAGAACAGAAAGTAGGCGTCCCATGGAAGTGCAGTCGTTTCCCATCATCTAAATACACATTATAGCCTTAATTCTATATGAGACCATGTGCATGTTCTGGGTCCTTATATTTAATAAAAGATATTAACGTGTGCAAAAACAATACAATTATCCATATTATATGGTAATAAAATAGACCTCTAATGATGTAGATGGATGGAAAATGTTTTTGACAGACACACTGATGGAAGTACTTTCATTCATCGTTGTTGTGTAAATGTACAATATATTTCTCATTTAAAAGCCAAATT